ATGTGCGGGATAGAAACATCCCAGAAGCAATTAAAGCAATAATGAGATGGGACAAAGGGGAGAAGGGGGATGCTCGGGATAGGCGGGACACCCGGAATATCCCGGGATAAACAGAACACCCGGAATATCCCGGGATAAATGGGATAGAGGGGACACCCGGAATTCCAGGGATAAATGTGACAGACGGGACACCCGGAATGAATGTGACAGATGGGACACCCGGAATATCCCGGGATAAACAGAACACCCGGAATATCCTGGGATAAACGGAACACCCGGAATTCCGGGATAAATGTGACAGATGGAACACCTGGAATATCCCGGGATGAACAGAACACCTGGAATTCCCGGGACACCCGGAATTCCCGGGACAAACAGAACACCTGGGATTCCCGGGACACCCGGAATTCCCGGGACAAGCCCCCCCGGCCGGGCAGAGCCCGCAGCTCGCCCCGCAGCCCGGCCCGCTCGCCACAGCCCGGCCGGGCTCGCCTTACCTGGGAACGGCGACTTCCAGAGGTGCGCGGGCTGCGGCTGCTCCTTGGGGCAGAACACTTGCCCGTCCCAGCCGTTGGCCAGCGCCCAGGGCTGGTGGTAGCCATCCACGGGAAGCAGGGGCTCGTGCCGCGGCTCCGGGTGCGCGCCCAGCGCCGGCACCACCGACACGTCCAGGTAGCCCGGCACGGCCTGGTACGAGCCCGGGAAGCCCGGGTAGAAGGCGGCGAACTCCTTGGGCCGCGCCGGCAGCTCCTCGCTCGCCAGCGAGCCGCCCGCCTCGGCGAACTTGTCGGGCGCGTGGTAGCCACAGGGCTTCTGCTGCAGGTTCAGGCGGCAGCCGTAGTAGCCCGTGCCGAAGGCGGGGTAGCCGTAGCCCAGCGCCGCCGGCCCCGACGGGCATTGCCGGGCCGGCTCCGCGCTCGCCAGCTCCGCGAACGCCGCTCCCTCGGCCGGGGGGGCGGCCGCGCCGGCGTGCGGCAGCATGTCGCGACAGGGGCCCAGGCTCTCCCGACAGTGGCCCAGGCTCTCCCGGCAGTGGCCCAAACTCTCCCGGCAGTGGCCCAGGCTCTCCATGCGCGGCTTCTCCCGCGGGGCGTCCTCGCAGCGGCAGCCGAGCGGCTCGGGCCAGCGCGGGGGGAGCCCGAGCGGAGCCGTCATGTCATGCCCGCGCTGCCGCCGCCTCCCGCCGCCCTTCCTCCCCCCCCAGCCCTCCTCCTCCTCCTCCTCCTCCTCCTCCTCCTCCCTCCGCCGCCGCCGCCGCCGGGCTCGCCGCTCCTCCCGCTCCTCCCGCTGCTCCCGCTCGGCTGCGGGCGGCGGGAGCGGGACCGGGAACAGGAGGAGGAGGAGGAGGAGGAGGAGGA